GCATGCTCCTGAATACGAACAGAGTGCTGTCTCTTCATGCTAAATACCACCGGAGCGATTTCTAGGCAGTAAACAGGCTTGAGACCCCGCATCCTTCCTTTTAGGAAGGGGCGGGGCGGGGGGGGAGGTAAAAAGGGACTAGACTTTAAAGAAGAAAATGCAAGAAAACTGGTGGTGGCTTCCAGCAGCCTTCTTGGCCGGTGCGCAAACTTTTCCTATCCCTCTCTTTCCCTGCGAGATAATTAGAAGCCTAGGAGGGAGTCTCCCGGGCCAAGTGTGAAATAAGGTCCGGCTGACAGGGAAGCGTGCAAGGGGCGATTAAGGTAAAATAATGCTGGTGCATGGAGTATAGAGGAGCTGGCTTCCCTTTACCCAGGAACCACCTGAGAGGCGAGAGGGCAGGGAGAGATTGAATAGTGGCCACTACCTCGAGAAGAAGGAGAAAGAATGAACAAGTGTTCGGGATTCTGCAACCGAGTGGCGCGGGGTGGGAGGGGGGACAGTCCCAGGGCTCCCCGCATCCTAAGAGGGAGAAACCCCGCCAGTTCCCCCGCGCTTACTCTCCCCACGATCCGGCTTCGGGGTCCTCCAAAAGCGCCCAAGGTGGACTTACCCCGGTAACTGTGTCCGGGCTTGTAGAATTCCGGATCGCCTTCCACGCGGAGGCTAAATTCATTATATCCTTCCCGCCTCGTGCCTTGGGCTCGCAGGATCCGGCTGCAATAGCCTTCGGATTTCGAGGCTCTCTCCAAGGTTTCGTCCGCCAAGGAAGCCAATGTCACCAGCGGGAAAGTCCAGGCGAGCAACTGCAGGGTTCGCAAAGCGCCAGAATAACGCCGGCAACGTCCCATCCTGCGGGTCCCCCAACAACTTCACAAATAAAGCAGAGAACGGCTGGGCTGAGCTGTCGCTGCCGAAATCACAACATGGACAGGTTGAAAGAGATGGCCGGGGAAAGCCCCCCGCCTCCCCTTTCTCGGCTCCGGAGAAAGCGAAGCGAGCCAGAAAACTAACCAACGCAGCCTTTAATCAGTCGCAGCTCA